ATATATATATATGTTGAATCCTGTAGCTATATTTCAAACAAAGGTTCTTTTTGTTAACATTTTGTATGAGTGTCTCTGTGTGTGTGCACCATGGCATGCATATGGATGTCAGAGGACAATTTGGAGTCATTTCTCTCTGGGAATCAGACTCAGGTCATTGGGCTTCATTACAGGCACCTTTACCTGCTGCTCCATCTTGCCAGTCTCTCTAATGAAGATTCTTCACATTGTACCTTTATTATTATTGTTATTATTTTTAATTTCAAAAAGTTTTACTTTTAAAAACATTTATTTATTTATTTTTTATTTTTTTGGTCTTTTTGAGACAGGGTCTCCCTGTAGCCCCAGCTGTCCTGGAACTCACTATGTAGACCAGGCTGGCCTTGAACTCGCAGAGATCTGCCTACCTCTGCCTCCTGAAAACATTTATTATTTTTATGTGTATAAGTGTATTGCCTGCATTAGGTAAGTACACCGTGTCATGCAGTGCTTGTGGAGGTCAGAAGAGGGTGTCAGAGCCCCTGGAACTGGAGTTATGGACAGTTAGCTGCACTGTGGGTGTTGGGATTCGAACCCGGGCCCTCTATAATAGCAGCTAGTGCTCTTAATCACTGAGCCATCTCTCCAGGCTCCATACCCTATCTTAAATGTTGAATCTTAGGTTTTTCTAAAGTGACAAAGCCAAATTTAAATTAATGGCTTGATATACTGGATGCTTATTGGACTTCTATGTGTGTGTTTGTGCATGTATGTGTATGTGCATAGGTGTGGAGACCAGAGACCAACCTCCAGTGTTGTTCATCAGGTTCTATCTACCTTGGTTTTGAAACAGTGTCTCTCATTGGCCTGGAATTTGCCAAATAGGCTTTGTTGGTGAGCCCTAGGGATCTACCCATCCCCACCTCCACAGCACAGGATTTATAAATGTGTTCTATCACACCTGACTTTTTTACATGAGTTCTAGGGATCAAACTGAGGTCTTCATCCTTGTAAGGCATGCTTGTAATGCTTATTGACCTGAGCTATCTCTCTTTAGCCCTGTTTATTTTAGTTTTATGTACATGTAGAATAGAACTTTACGGTGTATTTAAATACAGTAAACATTGCTGGGACTGGTTTGAAGTGAAAAAATGTAAATTGTTGCCTGGTCAAACTGTGTAGCAGAAATTATTATTTAGTAATACTCAAACAATTTCTGTCTTAGTCTTTGAACTAAACTCAGTGTTGTTTAAATGTTAGGGTGCCAAATGGGTTGGACGTATTGTACATCCGTATTCTTTTAATGCCACTTACTAATGATGTGTGTTGGAATAGAGTCTGCAAAGTACCCCTCCATTTTGCTAATTATCATTTAATTTCTAAACTGTGTGGTGACATTTAGCCATCAAGAGAAGCTTCAGCTAGAAGGAGAAAAGTATTTGCAGAGTAAGGAGGACCTGAGGCTGATGCTCACAGAACTCAAGAAGAAACAAGAAGCAGGCTTTGCTCTGCAACCTGGACTGCCAGAAAAGCAAGCCCAGTTAAAAATCTATAGGAAATTCCTCCAGAAAGCCCAAGATTTGACATCCTTGCTAGAGGAACTGAAATCTCAGGGAAATTATCTCTTGGAGTGCACTAAAAATCCTAGCTTCAGTGAAGAACCTTGGCTGGAAATAAAACATTTGCATGAGAGTCTTCTTCAACAGCTCCAGGTAAAATGAGCAGATAAAATTTCATGCCTTCTATAATTATTACACAAGATTTTTATGCAGAACTATTGCTTTGGATGTTATTCTTTTGGTAAACCCGAAGGTTTCATTTTAACATGAAAATGCAGCTCTCAGGAAGGAAGCAATCTATCCACTTTTGCTAGAGGAATCCATTATGTGTTGAAGATAATATTATTTCCTCTTAATGAAATTCCCTTCTTCAAGAGTTCGAAGGCTCTTTAGGATTCTCTATGAAGATGACAGTGTTGGCCTTATCTACCCACCCATCCAACCATCCATCCACTAACCCACTTACCCATGCATCTATCCATCCATCCATCCATCCATCCATCCACTAACCCACCTACCTATCCACCCATCTATCCACCCACCCATCCATCATCTATCCATCCATCCTCTATCCATCCATTTACACATCCACCTATCTTCTATTCGTCCATCCACTCATCTTTCCACTCACTAACCCACCTACCCATTTATCTGCCCACACACTCATCCATTCACTAACCCACCTATTCATCCATCCATCCATAGTGATAATTCATATCAGTTGTCTTCTCCCTCTGTTGAAACATTTTCCGAGTGAAAATAAATTTTAAACCATTTTAATGGTTTTTATTTTTAGGATTCTGTGCAAAAACTAGAGGATCATGTTCAAGAACACAGTTCATTCCAGATTTGCATCACAGACATGAACACCACACTGGACAACTTCTCCAAGGAGTTTGTCAGCCTTTGCGATGCACCTGTGGACCAAACGGCAGCTGAGGACAAACTGCAGAAACTGCAGGTACTGAGCAATATCCAAACACTCGAAATGCAGTGCCACAAATGCATTGCATCTTGACTTTTCAGTGCCTTTGGTCAGAAACTCACGTGAGATTTAGAAAGGTCTCAGCAGTGTGGAAAACAAAATGGGGACAGAATTCTCTGGTGGTCCAGTCCATCTGTAAGGTCAGCTGAACAATGGCTCTGTGGGCCCCCAGAGATAATCCTACCCAGAACCAGCCTGTAGCTCCTGCTTGTCTTTGTTTCAGAAGCGGAATAGCTTCTGAAATAGGTTCTGAGAGGCTGAATGATTCAGGCAGTGTGCCGTGGCCATTTTGCATTCTTCATCGGGGATGGAAATTGTGTACTTCTTACCTTATTAATTTTTATTCTTGTAGACTCTTTAGGTAAGCTCCCCTAATGGTAGGGTCTCTAAGGTTCTCTCTCACTCCTGAAGCAACTAACCCTCTACCTACATAGACCAGAGCCGTTTACCTACATCCGCAAACATGTTTGAATTCATTCTACTCATATAGCCAGTGTAGCAGGCCTGAGCATCTGCTACAAAAAATTTGCTTTTAATTTAAAACATTAGTGTTAGAGTCATGTGAGCATTCTAAATCACCCTTTATTTTTTTAAAAAACTTCCTGTGGTTCATGTATTCCATGTTTGAACTTTGAAAAGCCTAAATCATCATCATCTTTTTTAAAAAATGTATTTAAAACAGGTTCTTGATCTTTCTATGTAACCTAGGCTGATGTTGAACTTGTAATCCCCCTCCCTGAGCCTCCCAAGTAATAGGGTTGTAAGTGTGCATGACCACACTTAGCTGAGAAGGCTGTGCCTTGAATGAAATACATATTCACCAAATGCCTATTGATTGTCTTCTATGTTTTACAAACTGTGCTGTGAACATTGTTTGAATTACCTGTTGCAGACTTCCTAGTGTCTTATAAAATCTATTGGAGAATTTGACGTGGGATGCTATTGGTTTAAAATTTTCCCCAAAGTTTCTTCGAGGTATATGCTGATGGTTTCTTTTATAGATATATCTTCTACTGGTGAAATAGAATACCTTGTGATTTATAAAAACTCAATGAACGATTTTGAGAACTGAAGGGTGATACTTTTTATAACAGCCTTCTCTCTACTCCTAGGAACTGGAGAGTAGACTCAATTTAAAAGGTGATACATTAAAGAAGGTTTTAGCATTAGCAAAATCCATCAAGCAAAATACATCTTCAGTGGGACAGAAGATTATGAAAGATGATATAAAATCACTTAAGTGGAAACAAAAGGATTTGGAAAACAGAATTGAATCTGCCAAGCAGGAGACTGAAAATTGTCTCAGCAACATCCTTAAATTAGAAAGCTCGACAGAAAAGCAGGAAAAGTTTGCTCTGCCAGGTGGAGAGATGCTGGCCACTTCTGATGTGGTGGAGCCCACTCAGGAATCGGCAGCAGTAGGCGAGTCGCAGGGAGACTGGGAAACAAACAAGGTAAGTGCTGTGATTGCGCTCTCTAGACATGAGTCTGAGAGGAAGAGGTATGCCGCTCTGAAAAGGGTCTTGAATCAAGCGCTCTGATTTCATAATTAAATCCTCAAAGCACTGACTATTTATGAGGCTCACTTGTAAAAAGAGCCCTTAGAAAACTGTCCACATTTCAGCCGTGTAATATTACTGTTGAGCCTTAAAATGTCAGTCATCAATTTAGGTTTATTATTCTCATTCGTATGTAATCAGATACAGTTTCTTGGGTCAAGAGCACAAAGACAGATTAGAAAAGGCAAAAGGAAAGAAAATAATATGCTGTAGTCATTTCCTTAGTTTAAAAAAAATGAAGAGCTCAATTCTTTTTTTCTTTTGGTTGATTTTATAAGTGAAATCAGAGACTGTTGGAAAGGAATAGGTTCCTTTCCTTTCTCTTCTTCTGTTAACCCTATACTGCAAATAAAGTTCTAAATGCTGCCAGGTCATTAGTGAGAAAATGTCAGTGTTCAGATTACTAATTTTCCCCAGAGAAACAAGACGCGTGGGTTGTTTTTTGGTTTTGTTTCTGTTTGTTTTTGCCACCAAATGGGTACATTTTCCTTGGTTCTTTTTTCTTTTCTTAAATATGTCCTATATTTTGAAAGATTTGTTTTTTTGTATATTTGTGTGTTTATGTGTCTGTGTGAGTGTACATGCACATGTGTGTGCAGGCACAGGTAGGTGTCAAGTGCCTTCCTCCATCGGTCTCCATCTGCTCCTTTGATGTGAGGTCTTTTTCCAGATGCAGGGCTTGCATTTTCTCTGCCATAGTGGGACCCAGCAAGCCCCAGTGATCTGCTTATCTCTTCTAATCCTTGGAGCTGAGGCTAAATGCGTATGTAGAGCACCTGGCTTGCTACATGGGGTGCTGGGATTCCAACTCCAGTCCTATGATTGTGCAGCACGTGTTCTTAACTGGTTAGCCACCTCTCCAGCCTGTCCTGTGGCTCTTAAAGTACTTTCTTGCAACATGAAGTTTGCGATTGAAATGGCAAAGGCACAAAGAGGGAGAGGAAGGGAAAGAGGATAGGGGTTGGGGGGCAGAGGGCACCCAAGAAGACTTCACAGTAACTGTGGAAAGGCTCTCCCTGGCAGGCAGCTTCTCACAGGCCAGGGTACTGTAAGAGAACAAAGTTAGACCATTCAGGTATGAGTCCTTCTCTGCTTTTTGAGAGATTATATAATCAATAGGAATGAAGATAACATGCGTTTTGTCTGTCTTTGTGGAATAGATGTTCATGGAAGATAAAAGAAACCAGATAGAATTTTCTAGGAATTTGTAAAACAAGGTTAAATGTTAATGGAACATTTCCCTGGTCAAGAAAAACGTCTTGTACAGTGTTAGGTATTACTAAGGAAACATGTCTAAAAGATTAAATCTCAGTAGCTGAGTCAAGGTGATTATATATATATAAACCTTCCTTAGCAGTGAGCAGAGATAGATAAGGAAAACTGTATACATTCTTGGGTGCTTGCTGTAAGTTGTAGGAGTGCACAGTGCAGACCGTGGCATTGTTGCAGAGGCTGGTGGCCTAATCACTTGTAGTCTAATTCCTCAGCCCCACTGTTGCCACAATACCTCCCCAATTCAATGGAGCATATTGAAAATAGCACAAAATCATCATTCAAAAATGGTTTTTAAAGAATTTTTGATAATTTCTGGCAGTTCACTGAATTTTTTTTCCAGATCAGTTGGAAGGATTTAAGACTTCAAATAATTTTCCTGTCTTAATTACAGAAAACTAGTTTTAATTCTCTAGCAACATTTCTTCTTTATAACCTGAAATTGTTCTGAATCTGTCTTTTGTATTTTCTCTGGTATCAGTGCTGGCTGTGCTTTCATTATGTAACATTGTACTGTGTGGTCAAGAGCAATATCAAGGTTGCAGCATTGGTTAAAAAAAAATCAAAGTTCAAATTTATGCATAGACAAGTAAGACATGGATGTAATATAGCAAATACCATAGTTTGGTACTAATAACATAGATAGGAGTCTCAGAATAATGAACACATAGAGCATGTAAAAGAATAATTTACTTCATGATAAATATGAATAATTCAAGTGTGGTAATAACTGTAGGTGCTATGGCTACTTGCATAGGCCATGTAGTGACACTTCATCTCAAAAGGACAGAGGCAAACAAAACAAAACACCTGCTGTGATAATAAAAGCACTTAATTCATTTAAAACATTTATTGAGGGTCAATGAGATGGCTCAGAGGATAAAGGCACTTGCTACCAAGACTTATGTTCTGAGTTTGAATCCCAGGACCCACATAGTAGATGAAAGGAACTGACTCTCAGAAGTCCTCTGACCTCTACACATGCACCATAACAATAAACAAACAAATGTGAGAAAACAATTATTGACTTATTTTGTCCTAATTGTTTTGGTTAAATGTGAGGATATGATTTTCATAGCTTTAAATATAATACTCATTAAATATTTAATTAGTGTTTACATGCCTTTTTGGAATCTTTTTAAAAATTATTTTTATTTTCTGTGTATGAGTGCATTGCCTGCATGTATGTAAGTGCACCCTTGTCATGCAATACACAAGAAGGTCAAAAGAGGGTGTCGGATTCTTCTGGTACTGGAGTTACAGACAGTTGTTAGCCACCATGTAGGTGCTGGAAACCATACCTAGGTCCTCTGCAAAAGCAGCCAGTGCTCTTAACCACTGAGCCATCTCTCCAGCCCATAACTGCATCTTTTTATTTTATTTAAAATGTATTTTTTTTAAAATATTTTATTTATTTTTATGTGTATGCGTGTATTACCTGCATCTAGGTAAGTGCACCCATGTTGTGCAATGCCCACAGAGGACAGAAGAGGCCATCAGATCCCCTGGAACTGGAGTTACAGACAGTTGTTAGCTGCCATGTGGGTGCTAGGATTCGAACCTGGGTCTTCTGCAAGAACAGCCAGTGTTCTTAACCGCTGAGCCATCTCTCCAGCCCCTAAAATGCATTTTGTTTTAAATTATGTGTGTGTTTCAGTCTATGCCTGAATCCTTGATGCCTGTTAATCGGTTTTTACTGAATGGATACATAAGTGAATTTGATAATAATAAAAACTAAGAATATCTTGTTAAACCTTGTATTATCAATATTAATAATCCATGAATAATTAGTGCTGTCTAGTGAGGACCAATCAAACAGCTATTGATTAACCATTGGTTATAGAGGATAGAAATAGCACTTGGATGGAGCTGAAAGTAGAGATTTGAAAGAAATGTTGGCAGACATGAGCCTAATGAAGGTGAGAGAGCACATCGGGGAATTAACGGCCTCAAAGGTCACATAATAAAACCTTTTTCAATTTGTTTAACTTTACATTTCTAGAACTTACTAGGACCTTTTCTACCTATGCAGCACCTTCTGTAAAACAGTGGGGTACAGTTGGGAATGGCAGACTGAGCAGAGGCTGCATGAGCTCCTGACACAACTGAACTTCAGTTCCCTTGCCTGAAACATAGGAGTCAGGATAGACATTTCCTTTTTTCAGTCTTGAGACAAGGTCTCATGTAGCCCAGGCAGACCTTAAACTCAGTATACAGCTGAGGCTTGTCTTGAATTCTTGATCTTCTTACTTCTACCTTCTAAGTGTTAAGATTTTAGGTTTTTGAAGGCTGTTCTCAAATGCATATTGCTGATGGTGATGATAGGTACACTATATACATCACTTATTCTGTAAAGGCATAAACTTTGGATTGTGGAAATGTCTCTAGAACAAGAAACAAGACTTTAATACTGTCCAGAAGGAAAAAAGATGTTTGCTTTGAAGATAATGGACATATGGCCCAACTATGGACTCTGTCACATATGTGTACATGTGTATGCGCATATATATGTATGTATGTAGTATGCATGTATGTATATATAGGGGGTTTTCCCCACTAAAGTATCAAGATTAACAGTAGCTGACACAGACTTCAGTCACACCAGGATTAAAACGTGTCCCTAGCATGTGGCCTTCCTACCCCTCCAGCACTGACTGGCTGTAGTCTTGCTTCCTGACCCATCACTGAAGTCTTGTCAATTCTGCCCATATGTGTGATAGCATCCAATATTTATCTACAGATGTTTCTTATACGTCAAATTATAAATGCTCAGGGTTTTTTTTTTTAAGGAACTAAAAATTATATGCAGTGAGAAGAAATTGAAAAATAATTACAGACAGAAGATTTGGGGGGGTTTAAAGCAACTGTGTCACATAGACTTCAACTTACGAAGAATGGGGCAAGAAAGATCGTTAAATGCCAATTAAACAGAAATGTTACTTTATAATTGTTTTTGAAATACAGTATATTAGGAATGCATGATTTTCCATGTTTTCATTCTTTAGCGTTTCCCTTTGTGGATATGTAAAGTCCTAAGAAATTAGAGAATCTTCACTTTTTATTTGTTAATTTGCTTAACTTAGGCAGGTGGAAGAGGGCAGTTCTGTTTGTTCGTGCCGAAAAACTTAAGAAGTTTTGTATCTATAAAAATATGCAAGTGCCTGGAGAGATGTTCTCAATGAGTTTCTGGCTAGAGGCAGGGAGACCCATGAATCAACTAGCTACACTGATGAGAGTCTAGTTAGGGAACTTAGGGAAGGAAACAACCCCCACATTAGCCTGTAACAAAGCTGACAGAGCTGGATGGTGGGGTCAGACAGAACCTCTTGCAGGAAGCAACATCTCCACAGAGATGCTAATGCCAGCAGGAGTTAGCCAAGCTCAGGGCTGGGTGTGGGGAGCCATCTGGAAATAGTGGGGAACAGTGGGAAGAGTTTCGCATGTCGATGAAGAACTCTGTGTCCAGAGTACACAGGTAGATGGCAGCAAAGAGTGACAGCGATGAGGGCTGAGAGTTGCAAGGCTGCCTCGTGAGTCACAGCAATGTGTTAGATGGTATACCAAGAGAGCCGGTCACATTGAGGGAAATCTGAAACTGGGGGACAGCTGATCTGCCTTTCGGT